GAATGCCCTAAGCACACTTTCCTATACTCCTCTATTCTATTCTATCCCATCCCAGACCCTCAGCATTATTTTAATGTTGCTTATTTTAACAACATCTTTGAAACTACATTTTCAATGGAATATGTTAATTTAGATGTATCCCTGCTTTCCTTCATTCTCTCTCTGCTTTCTGCTGGACCTCTCAGTGTATTTTCTGCATTGGAGGGAGGTAGCCTTGAACATAATTACAGAAGATACAATAGTCAGAAATGTAACATGGAAGGGAAGAATGTGGATAAAGAAGTGTCTTGACAGTTAGGGATTCCATAAATTGTTCAGTGGTTAGAGATCCTGCAAGGCATTTAACTGCCCTGCTCTCTAATTTTTTGCTGACCTGTGTGTAGAACTGCCACAGAATTAAGGGTAGTGACAGAAACTGGTTCCCCCACCTTCAGTTTTTAGATCTTCGCTCACCTTCAGTTTCTTCAGTGTATATTAAAGGCAGCAAGTGTGGGGCATGGCGGGGGGAGTGAGAGCTGGATTAAAAGCCGTTTCCCGCAGCACCATCTCCGTGGTGCCAAGGAGAGGAGACAAGGGAGGCAGAGGCACAGCGGGGCTGCAGCTCTGCCTTTCAAATGATGTGCCAAGCTCTTACTACATTTAAAAGGCAGAGGTGCAGTGGGGTTATATCCCAGGGCCAGCTCGAGCTGGGACTAAGCAATTGCATATTGTGCCGGCTCCGGGATACCATGGCTTTGCCTGCTGGACGCATCTTTGTGATAGAGCAGTAGCTGTAAGAAATTTAAGTTACTTTCTCCCCTGCTTAGTTCTCCCTTTTCTTCTTTTTGGGGGTTGGCGGATCAGTACTGTGGTGATTTCCCATTGAATACAGGAACATGCTGAGGCCAGATCTCTATTGCGGGGAGAAGGTCATTTAACGATAAGCAATTCCAGCTATGTAAATAACAACTTAGCTGGGGTTGATATACCGTCAGCCGAGTTTCAGTGCTGTCCTCCTAGGGGGAAATCAACAGGAGAAGCTCTCCATTGACTTCTCTTTCTCTTCTCAACTGCGAGGAGTACCACAGTCAATGGAGATACCCTCAGCTTTCATTTTAGTGTCTTTCTACACCACTAAATTGAATCCCAGAAAATTGACTTCCACAGCATTGATTCTCCATATTCCCCTAGTAAATACAGACATGGCCTTAGGTTTCAACCCTAATCTTTAAATCTGTTTATGAAAGTGGACTGAGTCACTAGAGCACTGTATTTTGTGCATGACAAGGAATATAACCTTTAAAGGAATTCATTAGGAACTACAGCACTGTCATTCACAACAACTCAAGGGCAAGACAGCAGATGACCCGCAACTGCGGAATTCACTTTATAAAACATAGGAACAGCCCCAATTCTCAGTGGTTCCAGAACAGGCTGTAAAACTCGCTTTTATCCTCAGCCTGCTTATGCTCACTAATCATTGGTGAACTGTCAAAAATAGAGTTCAGATAAACATTCAGAAATCCCGATGTTACCTGAACTTTTAGGCTCCTCTCTGATATCAACTCTGAACATATCAACAGCTGTTCCAGAATACTAATAGCCACTCACTTTTTCTCTTACGAGCCATGATCATTAATCTACTTACAGATTCTCTGTCTGTTTTTGCTGCTGCTCTTTTCATAACACCCAGCAAGATCCACAAGGAAATCTGCTTTGTGCTCCTCTCTATTCATCCCATTTGTTTACAGGCAATTGCAGTCCTGGTTCTATAATTTAACATTCAGATGTTTGAAATCTCCTGCTTACTGACCGTTTAGATGTAAGGTTTAGAAAATTTAATGAAAATTTAATTTTTACTTTCTCAACTTGTGCCTCATCTTTAGTGACAAGAAAATAATGAAAAAGCCTCATTAGCTTGTGCTCCATAAGAAAAATAGTAGGGGAGAGAGGATTTAAAAAAGGGCATTTCAAACCACTAGTTTGTATTGCTTATAATTTTGAGATTTAGTTATTTTTAAAACATCACTAAAATGTTTGATATTTCTTTTGTGATAGCATGCCAGGGACTGGTAGCATAAAAATCCAAAATATGAGAGTGTAACCCACACACATTCTGGGTGTCATGTGATGACCCTTCTAGTGACACTGAGAATACTTACAGGGAGTATAATGAGTCTACTCTACAGCCATAACTAATAATCAGCTGCATGGGTGGTCAGTGAAGGGAATCACCCAGAGCCCCACCCCTTATGCTGAGGTTTCGCCCTCCACCACTACGAGGAGGGTGATTGGGCACTCACGCAGACCCAGCCTCACCCTACCCCAGAGCACTGTGGAGGAGAAGAGGGTGCACGACTCGAGCCTCCTCGGCACCAGAGCAAGACTCTGCCCCTAGAACACCTACAATAGGCCTTCTGGGGGCGGAGTGCGGGCGGGCCAGGATGACGGTTTGGGAGGGCAAAGCCTTCTCTTGCCTAGGCTACTGACCGCCCATGATCAGTTGGCTTTTAGCTCATGCATTAGAGGCTCATGCACTCAGCTCCAGAGGTCCCCAATTCGATTCTGTCTGGCGATTATTTACGCTGAAGATATTCCCAATCCATTTGAAACAAAGATTGAAATATGTATAAATTAAAAGGCTTGAATCCAGGAGTAGAACTATTTAGGCTCAGAGGTTTAGTGTTTTTTAAATGATGTGTGTACACATTAAGCAACTAAAATACATATAAATGTGTTTCCTGAATGTAAATTTCAAGGGAATAAGCATTACAAATGGGAAGAGCCTCATGGAATTCTGGTTCATTCCCTCCCACCAAAACAAGAAGCGTAGTGCTAGGACTCTTAACTACAATATTTTCTAGTACTAGTTTCAAGTGTCCTATGTAATTTGTATCTTGATTCTTCTAGTGTCTCCCAACTTGTTGACATTTAATGCTCTTTTTTAAAAGGACGAAAGCAAACCAGTGCAAATGATGTTCAAGAGAGATGAATTTAAGATGGGATACATAGCAGACTTTCAGACCAAAGTCCTTGAGCTCCCTTATGTTGATAATGAGACTAGTATGATTATCCTGCTTCCTGATGAAATCCAAGATAATTCCACTGGCCTGGAACAGGTAAGGCACTTTGTACAGAACACAAAGACAACTGAAATCCTGCTAGAGAAGAGCCTTTGACTAAATCTCATGGAGATCTGTGACTTCAAGCCTCCAGCTCCTAAGTCCCCAGTGTCAGCACAGGGTTGAGAGCCGGAGGAGGCATTGCCCCCGTCCCCCAAAAGATGGGAACGCTGTATCTCACTGCCAAGTACGCCCAGCTCTCTCTGATGTCCAGAGACATGTTAAGTTCTGAAAGGAGAGACTTCTTGACTAGGGGAGGGGTCACCAGGGACTGGGATGAAAACAGAATGGAGTGAGTGACTGACTGAGGGAGATCCTAGAGAGCTTCCACTGACAGATCACTTCCTGTTTGATGGATTTCACCCCCATATTCCTTAATAACTGTTGAGGGGTGAGCTCTCTCTCACTATACCTGACCTATCTAATAGTCGTTTCATATGGGAGTCCTCAAGTCTCCTGAGCTACTGATTTCCTTTCTGTGCTCTATTGTTACCAGGCTGGCAAGAGACAGCGACATGGTAGTGCCTCTCCAACAGTAGCCACTTCTGCAAAGTACAGTTTGTTGTTAATGACAACATTCAGTTGCCTTAACTTGTCACCATGAAATCTGGCTTTACAATGGTACTTGCATATAGCACAGTGGGGCTCTGAGCCTAATTAGGTAACCTTTTGACTGTATTGGAAAAAGAATAAAAGTGTTTCTGGCTGTCATTTATTTTTCACTTCTGACTACAGCAGTAACATTCACTCCACTGTGTAGAGATACACCACGGTCATTATTTTGTGATTACAAATTCATGGCTTTTCTTCCACTTCAATTTTGTGACCTTTTTTCTTTAGCTGGAAAGAGAACTTACCGGTGAGAAACTTGCAAAGTGGATAAATCTAGAGAAGATGGACGTCACTACAGTGGAGGTGTCTTTACCCAGATTTAAATTGGAGCAAACTTACAATTTGAAGCCTGTACTGAGAAGCATGGGAATGACTGATATATTTGATGAAACGAAGGTGGATTTATCTGGAATGTCGGCCAAGAATGACCTTGTTCTGTCTGAGGCTGTTCACAAGTCATTTGTGGAGGTGAATGAAGAAGGCACCGAGGCAGCAGCTGCTACTGGAGTAGCGTTCATGTTCTGTTGTTTATGGACTGGACCACGGTTCACTGCTGACCATCCTTTCATCTTCTTTCTCCGGCACACCACCACTGGCAACATCCTGTTCTATGGCAGATTTTGTTCCCCCTAAAAAGAAAAATTGCAACATATATGTTTTATGGTACATAGAGCAACCCTAAACACCCTTCTCTCTTGTGCCTGAAATAGCTTTTTGTTGTCCTCCAGTCAAATGTAAGGAACAATTCTGAATATCAAGATCATTTAAGAATGTCTGTTCCAAAGGGTAACACTTAAAATATCACTTGACACAGTTCACTGGAAAATGTCACTTGTTTCCTATATATCTAAATAAAGGATTCTTTAGCGTGAGTCCAGGATCATATTTAGTTGTAATTAATTGCTTAATCCATCGCTCTATACACATTCATATTCCCCTAGAATTTTGGTTCTATAACTTGCACTTGCTTAACAGCAAGTTGTAAGATTTCATGGGGAGAGGAAAAATAAATGACTGGTCTTCAAGTACTTTTTGCAACTTTCCCCTCTGTGTCTCTCATTTACCAGACTGATTTCTTCCATGTGTAGCTGTGCTCCTCGCCCCCACGCCAAAAACTGCAGCTCAGAGGCACTACTAGCACCAAATGCACTTGCTCCATACCGGGGAGGGAGACATGCGTGACATCAGGCTGTTGTCCCACAGGAAATGTATATATAAAAGAGAGAGAGAGAGAGAACATGAAATAATCACACCAGTTTCAATTATTTTGGTAATTTATCTCAAAATACTTGTCAACAAGTCTTTCTCTTTCCATATATATAAAAAAGTTTTTCCTGTAGGACGACAGAGTGACCTGATCATGTCACTCTGGGTATGTCTACACTACAAAGTTAATTCGAACTAACGGATGTTAGTTCGAATTAACTTTGATAGGCGCTACACTAGCGCTCCGCTAGTTTGAACTTAATTCGAACTAGCGGAGCGCTTAGTTCGAACTAGGTAAACCTCATTTCATGAGGACTAACGCCTAGTTCGAACATACTAGTTCGAACTAAGGGCTGTGTAGCCCGGGGGGGGCTACCCTGCCCCAGCTTGCCCTGCTGGCCACTCTGGCCAACACCAGGCAAACTCTAGTGCCCCCCTCCCAGCCCCATAGCCCTTAAAGGGCCCTGGACTGCCCACAGCATCCGGCCAGCAGACCCTGCACCTGGCACAGGATGAACCAGCCACCCGCTGCCACCCAGCCCTCCCCCTCTTCCCACGACCAGGCTACAGTGTTTGTGCCAGTTACAAGGCTGCCAGCACCCAGCCAGCAGACCCTACACCTGACACCCCATGAACCAGCCACCTGATGCCCCCCAGCCCTCCCCCTCTTCCCGGGACCAGCCTGGCGGCCCCCAGGAGCCTGCCCGGGGCTGCAAAAGGCCGGGCCGCCAGGGGCCACCGGCGCAGCCGGGAGCAGGTGCGCTGGAAAATTAAGGCCCGGCGGCAGTCCTACTCCTGGGCCTGCCTGCCAGGGGCCAACCCGGAGGCCTGCCCCCACTTGCTGGCTCTGGACCGCATCCTGGGGGCTCACGCCATCCCTGCCCCCAGGTTGGTCATCGACCCCGGGGCGGAGGGACCACTCAGTGACACGGAGGAGGAGGAGGAGGACGCCGAGAGCCAGGAGCCTGACGGCAGCCTGCCCAGGACCCGGGACTCCCGAGGAACCCCACAGAGCCCA